ACGCAGGAGCACCCCCTACTGGCCCGCCTCACGTGGTGGAAATAGCAGAGGGATACGAATACCCAGCTGTGTTCCTGAGGTGGGATCTCTGCACCCGCCACAGGCTGGGCCCTGCTCCCTTCCCCCATGTGGGGTCCTCTTGGGACTGTGGCCTGGCCATACCCTCCTCCCTCTCCACAGGGCTGAGCTGAGACCTGGCCATGCCCCCTTCCGTCTCCACAGGGCAAGGTCAAGCTCCTTTCCTCTGAGGGACTGCATTGGGGCTGGCCTGCTCCCTGCCCCCCTCTGACCAGTCAGACGGTGCCTACCATGCCCACCCAAGTACCAACACCAGCTGGATCCAGCTCACAGATTGACTGGGCACTGCCAGTCTAGCCTGCCGGGCAGAAAGGTTGGACCACTGGTTTAGACAATTACTTGAACTTAATATTCAAGTTAAAAAATAACTTTCAGGTGGGTAGGTCAACTTACTAGCATACCATAAATTATACTATTAATACAACTATATTACTGCTTGAGGGCAGGGCACATTTTAAGTACCAGTTTCTTACAAAGATAGAGGGAATCACTCAGAGGGAATTGCAAAGGTAGGAGGGAATACACACACCATAAGCAGTGAAGGTAGTGATATCTGTACTTAGGTTACCCAACACTGTCCATTAGAAGACACTGATTTTAGCTCCTTAAATACAAAAAACAAAACTTTGCCAAAGTTTAGGGTAATAAAATTCAGCCATTTCTCAGACTATGGTTAGAGGAACACATACTGTTTGACCCACAATAAAAAAATTCCATCATTCAGTTGAGAAGCATTAGTGCCCCCATGCTTGGAAAGAAACCTGAAATGTGCCAAGGGAAACTGCTGATGAAAATTTTCATCCCAAAGCAAATTCACCCAAATTTGACCTAGTCTCTGAAAAATGACAGTTTGCACTGTCCAGTGCACTGTCCTTTTAAGAGCTTGACTGATAAATTGTCTGAAGATTCAGTCTGTACTGAGCATGTTTCAATCACTCAGTCAATAGGACTTCAGATGTCCCATTCAATAAAGCAGCTGAACATGGGAAGCAAGTGGCTTCTTTTGACTGGTCTCTGTTTTTTGCATCATTCCTGGCCCTCTTGTAAAATGTGCACCACTTGTGCAATGGAAAAATGCCAAGGAAGCACAGCAGACAAGGTTCTTTAGGTAAAGGAGCTGCAGCCAAACTCACCACTGACAGAACACTATAGGCCTACAAATTCCATAATACAATACCAAGTCAACAAATTTATCCAAATAAATATTGGAGGAAAAAAAATCACCTCTCTCCGTTTAATTCCTTCCCTGAGCAAATATACAACATCTTCTCCTTCACAGTCTGTAGCTTTAAAACCCTTGGTCCAGTTGAGGAGGATACCCTTAGAAAAGAAAAGAAAAGAAAAAAACACCATTATTAAATTTCCAAGCATACCTTCCACTAAACCAAGAGTCTTTTAAAGATGGTTTTGAAAAATAGCTTATGGTCAAGCACACACATCAATGTAGGTTGAAACCTTCAGTTAAACTTACAGGACAAAAGCATAAACATTTCATTCTAAGTAACACTAAAAATCAAAGACTCTAGATGCCTAATAAAGGGGGGGAAGCAAAAGCATCACGTTCACTAAAAGGGAATCTCTAGGAATTTGGTAAATGGTAACAAGAGTTATCATGTACCTGTTTATATCCAGTCCACAAGTCCTATGCCACAAAAGAGTGAATTGATTACAGTGTTTTATTAAACAAAATGCCAAGGGCTGTAATGCTACCTTATATAGAGCTTTCTGTGCTGTTTCCATGCATGTATATTTATGGATTAGAATCCAGTTATTGGACTATACTGCTGTGAACACCAGATATGAAGCAATAAACATAAGAACGAACTCCAGTATTCAAAGAGAATACATGTTAGCACAGGAGTATACCACAATCTTTTACTGGACATTGTATACTATGTCCCAGTCATGTTCAAGTGCCTTTTCTCTCCTGTCTGGAAGAGCTCTTAACTCACTTGGTAATTTGTGGTCCAGCCTCAACCACCATTTCTGGGCAGAGATCACCATGTTACAGCTTTGAGCTCCCATGCACGTGCAGGTAGCCTGCTTCAACACTCTGGAAATCCAGCACATCAGAGCAGACTCAATTAATCAAGTCTGCTGGAGCGCAGAACTTAAAGTGCTCCAGCAGGCTCTAGCATCATGTGCATCTGCATCCCAGAACTTTGCTCAGCAGGGCACTTCAAACTAAAGCTTGTTCAATGAACTTTAGTTCAAAGTGCCCCACCACCATTTTTCAGCATGGTGATGCTGATACATGTGACGCTTGGGTATTTTTAGTTAGCATGGCTTGCTATTTTAAGTGGCTCCCACGCCTCCCAGAGCACATGTAAAATGCCCTTTATTTTTAATGTAAAAACACCTAATTGACATCTAATTAAGGAACTATTTTTTTGAAAATGCTATCATCTTAGTCGATACAAACCACATTATGGGGAAGGAATGATGCTACAAAGAATGTAACAACATGTATTAGACATCAAATTCTAAACGAAATAGTGGCAGAAAATGTTACTGCTCTGAGAAACAGCTGAATGAAACATCAGTCAACTAGTAGTCAATACTACATTTAGGGAACCTAATTCTTGAACCTTTGCCTCAGGCTCAGTACTACTTACACAAACTGTCCCTCTGCAATCTTTAATCCAACTGCTCATGTCACTAACTGCTGCAAAGCCCAAATGAAGGTGAAGAATTAGGCACAACAAAAGTACAAAAACAGATTTAGAAGATACAAGATATTACATAACTTACAGCATCTAAACTTGTCTGTTTGCAAGGGAAGGAAAATGTAAATCCAAGGGGAAGTCGTGCACCTTTTATTCCCATGTAATCCAGGAAGTCTGAGATGCAGGCAACTATGTGATCAAACAGCTAAGAGAAAAACATATATATAAGAAGTCATGTCTATCGAACATATATTATGCATTTCTTCAGAAATCAATAATAATGAAAACAAGATATATAAACGTTCACCTCTTCACCAGTACCCAGCATGACTTCTACAGGGATGGCATATATTTTATTGTGCATTTCAACTGTTCTCCTTTTACCACTACGGATCTTCACAAGCAAAACTCTAAAATTTGTTCCTCCAAGATCAAGAGCCAGGAAGTCTCCATTCTCTGTAACAGTGTATTAATGTAAAACTTAGAAACATAAAAATGTATGAACCAAAATGTCCATTTTTTTTATTTTCGCAGCAAGTTAAAGCATGTAGAAAGGTCTCTCACAGGGATCTGAAGGATTTAAGGGTTTCTCATGTTTACTCTAAGGCTTCTGCCTGCTTACTGAAAAGAGCAGAAAAAATACATTCACATGCAGTTGCTCCTTCAGAAAGGAGGAGACCAGATAGTTTTTGCACTGCATATATGGTACTGAACTACTCTCTAAGAAAGTGAGTAATTCTCTAGTACACCAGCAGATGGTGCTAGCATTCCTGCTTCTGCAACTGCAGCAGGAGGTCATCTGAAGCCCACTGAATTAGATAAGGATGTGGAAAAACTTGAGGGTCCAGAAAAGAGCCACCCATATGACCAGGGACTTGCAAGGCAAGCCACATGAGGAAAGGCTGAGGGACCTGGGACACTTTAGCCTAAAGAAGAGAAGGTTGAGAGGGGACTTGATAGTGGCTTATCCTTATATCAGGGGAGTGCATGAGGAGCTTGGTGAACAACCATTCACTAAGGCACCCCTGGGGAAGACCAGGACCAACGGATACAAACTCCTGGAAGGCTGCTTCAGGCTTAATACCAGGGAAAAACTGCTTCACAGTTAGGGTGTCCACACTGGAATAAACTCCCTCCAGAGGTGGTGCAGTCACCTACCCTGGTGGTTTTCAAGAGAACACTGGACAGTCACCTCACTGGGGTCACTTGACCCGAGTTATCTTCCTGCCTAGAGTGGAGGGGCTGTACCCAATGATCTGCGAGGTCCCTTCCAACCCCTAACAATCCATGAATAATGGATGCTTAGAAAGAAAAAGGAGGCGGCACTGTCCTTCTTTGCTGCTTACAAATGACAGAAGGATCTTCTGAGGTAGAGTTATCAACTGCTGTGTAGCAGACAGGAAAAGGGAATCAGTTGCTACGGGACTTGTATCCAAAGCTCACTGAAGATGATGGAAAAAACTAACTTTAAAAGGTTGAATCAGACCCTATATGAAGGAAAAGTGCCTGCGAATATGAAAAGCATAATCAAAGAGCTGTCTTTACACGTATGAATAGATTCACAACTGATTTATATTTTTGGTTTCCCTCCCTCACCCATGTCCCACCTGCCCAGAGGGCAGCCTGCTGTGTATTTAATATGCTTTTCTTCCTTCAACTATAATAAAAGCTACCTGTTCCATCTGGTGTGCTGCGGACAAATGTGGGCAGCATTTTCACTTTTGCACTATCATGAGTTTTCTTCTTCATTCCAGCTTCCATTTCCATTCGCATCCTCTTCTTAACCTGCAATAGCTGTTCATGAGTAAGCTTGAATTCAGCCAGAGTTTCAGCTATCAGCCTGTGCTGCTCAGCCAACCTGTAAGCCACTGCTGTGACCATTGCAGCTCCCTTTCCACTGCCACTCTCAGACAGGAGGAATCGCACATCAGAGTCAGGAACTAAGCGCCTTGTTGTTTTGTGCAAGCGTCGGGCATATCTGTGAAGAAGAGATCATAAAAACAGTGACCTCTCTTTTAAAAAAGGTCACTTAAAAATCTGCCCTAGTCATCACCAGCCACAAAAAATGAAAGGCTTGGAGGAAAGACTATCAAGTTTCAAAGTAAGGAAAGCCAATTCCTGCTTTCTGCAGTACAAATGACTTTTCTTTGCAGGTGTCCCCAACCTAATATGTACCACTTCCAAACCTTCTTGCGCTTTGCCTTCTTTGTATCACACAAGCTAAAGCAGTTTGGTGTTCTACTAATTGCCAACGTGAAGCCAGAGACAGAGTGAAGAACTTAAATAAAACCTAAGACAATCACACCCAGACATTCAGAATATCACATGCCTAACATGGCGCAGCAAGGTCTATCTGAATAATTGCTTCTTTGGAAGCCAGTATGGCACCTCCCCTGAGACTGAAGGGTCCTCCTACCTGGTTTCACAGTATACTTCAACAGTCTTTTTTTTCTAAATTTATAAATTAAAAAAAGCCAAAATAAGTAAGCCATATATCCATGCTGGATAGTTTATATCTAAAAAGAACTTGTCAAGATAACAGTCTTCTTCCAAGACACACTTGTCCTGGACAAATTTTCATTTCTTCCAAAATATACTGCGTTTTCAGTTGTTCAACTAAGAAAAATCATTTTTTCAATAAAACACCAACAATTTTCCATAAAACAAACATCGAACAAGCTAAATATTCCTGTTTCTTTACTTTGTTTAATTTCTACGGAAAATACCCTTTCCTAAATAGCTCTAAATACCTAGTTTTAATCTCTCTACTATGCACTATCTGAAGTTAACTTCTCCAAATAGAGAGCTATAACTATAGGTACTTCCAGCTGCTTTTAAAAAAGAACAAGAGAATGAAGACAGTAAAATGTTACTTCTAAGTTCCAGGTCTAAGCAAGAAGACTAAAGGAATAAGGTAATCAAAGATAGTTTTTAATTCAGTTTAAACAGAAAAACCCCCCCAACAAATAGATCTTCTCATCAGAGTGTAGCCCACAGGTACAAAATTATAGTCCTAGAATATTAATTGCTTTTGTTCAAGCAACTTGTCCTCTGAAACTACCAGAAATGCTAAGGGAACTTAGATGTCCAAATCCCAATTAACTTCAATGAGAGTTGGATGCCTACTTTCCTTTATTTTTCTCCTAAAGTCCCTGCCTATTTCAACAGTTAAAGGCAATATATTTTTCTCTCCTCTATTAAGCTGTTTGCTGAGCTCAATTTTTACACACACACACATCTTCTGTTTACGTAACTCAACTCGAGACCACCTCTTAAAATGATGGCTTAATAGTTCATGTCTGACCTTTGCAAAAGATGAGTCCTAACAGGTGCCAAGCGTTAAATATAGTAACAGCAGGACTTACTGCGGATGCATCTTGTAAAGGGAACCATCTACCCCAACTGTGGTACGCAGCCTGGGTACTCCTTTATTGTCACGTAGTTGATTCAGAATTGCACCCAAGGTACAAGCAACCAGATTGGCAGAACGAAATGAAACGATTGTACAAACATGATGGACAGCAATGCAATCTTCATGGGATGGCTCTACACCAAGGCGTGTCAAAATTTCTTTGGCTTTATTCAAACCTTCTTTGCTTCTACAAAATAGATATATTTTAAAAGTGCAAGCTTTAGTATGAAATGATAAAATTAAAGTAACATTAGCTGACAGCAGGCATATTGCCATTTGACAGCCTTCTGAGGGTCTGAGACAGGCCTTATGGCACTTGAAGGCAATATCAGATGACTGAAATCTCTCTGTTAATGGCACCGAATAATTAGAGATTCAAAACAAAGTCAGTTAAGGTTTGCTGAAAATGAATGGCATTTCAATAAAACCCAGTCAAAATGTACAGTCTGTGAAATAGCTTCTATCACTGGTACAACAGAATTTCAACTAGTCTGTCAGCACAACCCTACATGCATAATTACTGAAGGCAATAGCTGCTGACTCCCTCAAAATTAGTTTTCTGCTGGGTACGAGACACAGGCTATGCATAAGTCCTGACATTGGGAGGGTGCAGCTCCAGACAGTTGGGTCCAGCCAAGCTATAGTCCCACATCCTGCTGCTGGCACAGATTTCATACTGCTGCCACAAGTCCCACTGCTGCTAGGCCCTGCCTCTGGCCAGGCTACAGCCCTGTGCCCCATACCCTGCTGTCAGCACAGAAAACTGGAAGGCATCCATGCCCCTCCTATGCCCTCCCAACACGTTGCCTATGGTATGAAATACACTATTTACATGGAAACATATCTAGTTTTAAATCCTCAGAGGTATTAGGAAGATGCATCTCCAAAAAGGAAGCAAAATTTCATTCGTGCCAGATGGTATGAACAAGTCTACTCTCCAGTGAGTTTCCCTTATTAAAAGGAATGAAAGTGCGAGGCACACTGAAATTGCATACTCGTATTGCTATTGCTGAGTGTCACCCAACAGCACAGCAAGCAAATGTCAAGAGAAGGATGATAAATGACATCATGAAGCCAGAACTGCAGAAGACAGGCATTTGCCAACAACAAATCAAAGAGAGTTTGATTCTAGCAATGCCACAAAGGCTCCTTTCATGAAACTGCCCAGGGAACAACTAAGGTGCTCAACCATGCACAGGCCTGGAAAAACTAAAATTTCTTTTCACCTTGTTGATTCTTTACATTATAAATTATCAGGGCCTAGGCGAACAACTATTCACCAAAGAGCCCCAAGGCAAACCAGGAGCAACAATCAAACTCCTAGAAGAAAGTTTCAAACTGGATACAAGGGAAAACTTCTTCATGGTTTGTGTGACCAGACTCCAGAATAGACTCCCAGCAGGGATGGTGCAGGCATCTACCCTGGAGATCTTCAAAAGGAGATGGGACACACACCTTGCTGGGGTTATTTGACTCCAGCAATCTGCTTGCCCAGAGCTGGGGTGTTGGACTCAATGATCTCACAAGGTCCCTTCCAGCCTGAAAATTCTGTGAATCTGTGTGAATGTAGGAAGCCCTATTCAAACAGGCACTTCAGCATATTAGTAATCCCATGCTCACATGCTTAATAAAAGCCAGAGTCAATAGCAAAAAAAGCATTTTCATTTGAAAGGCCTTTTTTAGACTGTTATAATTCTGGAAATTCTTTTGTGCTGAAATTTCCTATATTACTTCTCAGACTAAGAATAAAATTCTGCTAAAGCCTGTGCACATTCTGTTAAGCCAGTTTCAAGCTGAGACACAGGGTATGTGTATACTGCTTCCATAGTGCTCAAGAGTGCTGCCAAAGACTATGGCCCCACCCATCTGCTCCTGTTCAGGACATGCCAAAACTGAAAATCTGCTGGGGTGGGGATGGGAGGGGGGGGAAATCTGCTGGGGGGCGGGGAATGGGACTGCTACTACTCTAAAAGTTCATGGTCTCCAGCATGCTCAAGGACAGAAATGGGGAGAGATCCAAGGGCAGTTTCACAGCCTCACTTCCAGGTTCAATGTGTAACACAGATTAGGCAGGCAAGGTACGCTTGATGGCAGTGGTCTGAAGACACAAAACTATAGCAGAACAGATACAGACATCCCCAAATTGTGCATACACACACGCACATGATTTTGCCATTTTAAACCAAGTTTTAAAATTTTTCTCCTCAATGTTTCCTGCCTCATTTGTATCTAGCAGAAAACAGGTATTTAACAGATACAGCCCCTAGAAATAGGGAATGTGCCTTTAGGTAATCTGTTGACAATTTATTTTGCCCTTAGATTAGGAATTAAAAAAAAAAAAAAAAAAAACAGCACTCACCATTTTGCTGTGTAAATGCATGCAACTCAGATGGATAGATTTTTACTTTTAATGTGTCATTGCTTAGGGAATGTGATCCACATATTACATGTATGGTATGAGGCATTGTGGAAGTTATTGATGTACTCTCAATACTGCATCTATAATTGATTGTGCATGCAACATTAGAAGCGTACAAATCAGAAGTTTGTTTTTCCTAAATTTGGAGAAGTCAACATTACTCAAATGCATCATAATAAGACATATTCAGTAATGGGAACAAAAAAGGGAGAGATGCCTGAAAGTGTGTTGACACTGTAACAAAGACTACCTCATATTTCATAGGTCAATGTGTAATATCAATCATCGTTTACTAGGTGGAATGTGTCGTATACTTTTTGCATGTCTTTTGTTTTGGCAAAATAACAAAACAGAGCTCGGTAAATACTCACGGCACTTCAAGGAAAGATGCCAGCCAGGCAAGAATTTACTAAGATGCACTAAGCCAGACCTTCTGCAATATCTGCCTATATTTCTGCCATGTTGGGGTATAGAGTAGCTGCAGTGTTGTAGATGGCAGAGAGAGATTTCAACAGAAGTACCAATAATCTGTTGTGACTGGACAGCAGTCTAAAATATTCACAGTTATGCAAAGGCATGGCTCATCCTCATCATTCCTAACATACACAGATAAGATTTTAAGAATGGCAAACTGCATCAGCAGAGCAGTGTTTCTAATACTGACCTCTCATTCCTGAAGGGAAAAAAAAAAAAAAAATAGTCATGGGCAGCAGAACTGCCAGAAATGTTGTCAGAACAGCCTATCCCAATGCAAATGAGAAGCAACAACAGCAAACCTTGAAACAGGTTGGGGGGAAATCCTAAACCTAAAGAACACTATACAGTAGCTGTTATTGCAAGTTACTCACGTCTCTCATGCTTGTACTCTAGGATTAGTGGATGCATTTTGATTTGACCACATACCTTATAAACTGGAATACCCATTGTACCTTGTGAAGCAGATTAGAGCCCTGATTCTCATTTACTCAAAGCCTCCTTTGACACCATTCTGACAGTGTAAAGCAACCATATGGGGGAACAAACATAATTATCTTTCTACCACTTTAAGGAGCCTGGGCATATTTTTACTTTTTTCCTTTTCTTTTTTTCAATTTTAGGTTCATTTGAAGTTAAGTGTACAAGCTCTACCTTACACATTTGGAAGCTGTGACCCTGAACTCTTTATAAAGAATATAAGCATTATCCAGAGGCTGGGAATAGAAGGGTTGTGTCTGTAACAGCCTGCCAATACAGGACACTGCTTTATTCACACAGCAAGATGGACCCCTTGTTCATGCAGCAGCCATCATGGAGCACTCGCACTTCCCTAGGCATTGTCATTCAAGAAAAGGGCACTGATTAAGAAGTTAGTAGAAGAACTTTCTGAAAGGTCACAAGCCTTGAAAAGCTGTCAAAAATGTTGCTGGGTTTTTGGTTGTAGCAGTGTTGATCCCCCTCTCCCCTTCCCTGCTTTTCCCTTTATCTTGCTTATCTCTATCTATTTACATTTTCACTGGCATCCCTGCACACTTTTAGCTTCTCTCAGACCAGCAGAGACTCCCTATGCCTGATGAAGGGTGAGTGCGCCCAAAAGCTTCCTAAAAATGTGGAATTGCTTACTTCTCTATAGCAGAAACATGCTTTGTTTCAAATTTTCCTTTGGTTAAAAGCTCTGGAGTGATTCTCCCTTCAAAAAGCAGTCCTTCTTTGGCCATCTTGACAAGGATGAGCCTGACCAATTCACCCATGTACATTCCACTCACCATCTTCTCAAATCTGTAACAAGATTACAAAAGTTAAATGTTTTCACAATCACCTGGAAGATTCAAATGATAAAGTCCATACATATGTTGCCTCTGATGTTATGGCACTAAGAGGCAGAACCAGAATCTGCTATTTGCTACAAGTCTGGCAGTATCAGTTAATGAGTGTGAAAAAGGTGAAGAATTCCAAGTTGAAAATACTCTCATAATACAAATAAATTGTTCCATGGACAAAAAAAAAAATGCATATGAAAGTCATTTGTTACTATAACTATACTGAGCCTGTAGCAGGCTGCATACATCAGGCTGAAGCAGTCTGCAGGCTTGCAGGGGCTACAGCCCTGCTGTGGATGGTGGAAACTAATTGTAGGACTGCCTGGAGGACTGGGCCAGCTAATGCAACTAATTGGCTAGCCCAAAGGAAGTTAAAAGGTTCCCAGGGAAAGGCACTAAAGGGCAAAGACAGAGAAAAACCAAGAGGTACCAGGCTAGTGGTGGCAGAAGCAAGCCAGGGTATTCTTGGGGTCTGGGAAAAAGCCATAGTGAACCAGGGAACTTGTACCAGAGAGAGACAGGAAAGACTACGGTGCTGAGGGAGCAGCACAAAGCCGAAGTCACCCTCTTAGGGTCTGAGAAAAGGCCTCAAGCTGCGAGTTAACCCCCCTTGTGAACTATATTTATATTTGTTCATTAATTACTGACTTATGCTTGTGCTGTTTCCTGTGAGGCAGATGTGACCAGGAAATAAAGACTGTGCTGAGCTTTCAAAGACTGTTTGAGCTGAGTAAACTGCAACCCACTACAAAGCCCTAATATCAAGAGTGCCTGAGTGGGTACAAGCACTCATTCGGGTTGAAAGAAAATCCCAGACAATACGATTATGATTCTACCTGGACCAAACATGATCAGTATTGAGAGCCCAAGAGATCATTCTGCAATGGATGGGGCAAAAGTATGACCTTAAGCCATGGGGTTCCCAAGCTACAGTATAGGGAGAAAAGAGCTAATTCTGCTTATAACTTTTTCTGGACACAGCAGTCCAGCCCCGTATCCCATGTGCACATGCTAGTCCTAGGGCTTGTTGTGCATGAGGCACATGGGGCCACCATGAGGTGTGCGCTGCCCATAGCCCACAAGCTGGACCCAGCACTCCAGGCAGCACAGAGGGTCAGTCTGGGACACTGCATGCAGCCCACACCCTAGACTATCTGTGCCACATGCAGTGCTACATCCAGCCCATGCTCCTTATCCATTTCTCAGCCTGTACTAGTCCCACATGTTATATGCACAACAAGCCCTGGGGCCACTACACGCAGCACACGGGGTTCGACTGGTTGTGTGCACTGCACACAGCAAAGGGGGCTTGCATGAATGCCATGTGCCCCCGGCAGCTGGGAGGGGCACTGTTGGGCCGGTGGCAGCAGCGGCAAGCAGGGAGCTCCTGCAAACGCCACCGGTGCTGTCAGCAGCGAGGGGAGGGTGGCGAGTGCCAACCAGAGGGTGGCAGCAGCCAGCAGCAATTGCTGACCGCCCACAGACATCACTCGCAGTGTCAGCAATGGGGGGGGGGCAAATAGTGATCATAGGGGGTGCACCACCACTCAGGGGGTGCATGTGCATCCCCTACGCATTGCCAATGAGGGGTGGCATGGGGCACATGTTGCATATGGCACCCCACCGGACCAGCCCTTCATGCTGGTTCCAGTATGACTCAATCCAGATTGGACCTGGAGCTAGCATGCAGGGCCAGTCCAGCAGAGCACTGTATGCAGCACATAACCCAGACTGCCCCGCTGTGATGCATGCAGAGCATATAGTGTCAGGTCTAGCCACAACCCACAACATACAGAGCTGGGGCCAGTGTATGGGGTGATCCAGCAGCCCCTGGGCTGGATAATATGGCTGCACAGGCCAGATCCACTCCACAGGCCATAAGTTTGATACTCCTTAGTGGGCAGCGTGTCTCCTCCTCCCTGTCACATACAGTGCACAAATAGAATTCTAGCCTGGGAGCACAACTTGCTCCTACACCTCTACCCACTGGAGCACCTGCATAAGGATTTGATTCATTACCCACTAGCAATACAACTTTACTCATTTTCTTTCAGCAGCTTCAGGCTTACTAAATTACTATAGCTTGTTGGGAAGATGGGATTACTAGAGCCCGTTGAAAATGTAGGAGTTTTAAAAGAAACCAAACAGCTATTGGGAATGAAGGGATGACTTGGGGTACACTGGAGGAAGGGAACTGTCTGGGATGAAAAAGCAAAGCGCACTGATTTTACTGAGGCCTCATAGTGCAAGATATTTAAAAATGAATGATGGCCAAGGCCCAGCAGAAAGAATAACCAAGTTCTACCCTACTACAGACTAATCCTAAACATGTTAACAAATGGAGGTGGCAATTTGAACTTTCTGAAGTAACAAAGGAAGAAAGGTGGTAAGGGCCCACTGAAAGTTTATTGAGAGAGAAGGGGGGGGGGAAAAAAGTGGGTGCGCTGAGAAAGCGCAAGACATGAGTTTACTAAAAGCATGGGAGGGTGAGAACAGCAAGTGCAAGAGGCAGAGTTTAGAATAAAGTGTTCTGAACGGGTTTACTTGAATAGTGGCCAAACGTTCAGGATGCTTTCTTTCCTTCCCCCAAACCATTTTGCCCATTTTGCAAAGCTTCACCTGCCAACAGCCTCGTTGAACATACATAAAGTGGAATAGTTCCAAGCAGATACGAGAGACTCATATCTCATATGATATCATAGTACTTAGGGTTGGAAGGGACCTAAACAGATCATCAGGTCCAATCCCCTCCCCCAGGCAGGAATGGGTGCTGGGATCATATCACCCCAGCCAAATATCTGTCCAGCCTCCAATTTAACCCCATTATGCTGCCCAATTGTGATCTCTCTTTACTGAGTGTTTATAATTTACTCTAAATCAGTTTGTGTTAGTAGAAAAGCAAATTCAAGTTTCACTCACAGTTGTTTTCCAGGATTAAGGGAACCACGGTCAATCTCTCTATCAAACTCAGTTCGGATGTCTTCTAGTGACCCATCATCTCCAAAGGCTCCCCACTCAGTGTTGATGCACATTCTCCCCTCATCACCTTCCACCAAATCAATGTGTCTCATTTCTTCCATGTAGCAAGCATTAGTGCCAGTACCTTTAGGAACACGCACAGACATTAACAAAACAAGCCAACCAGAGCAAAATGCTATGCATACACTGTAGCAAATAAATGAATGTTACCTATAATCAAGCCTACTTCACAACGCTGGTCATCAAACCCACAGGTCATCATTGTCCCTACTGTATCATTTACAACAGCCATGATGTCTGCATCATAGTCCTGAAGAAGGAAACACAACTTTACTTATATCGCTTACCCTCATTAAAATATTAATATCAATATCAATGTAAGATGTCACTACCACATAACACTTTGAAAATACAATCTGTACTTAGCAATAACTGCTTACACCAAGCATTTCTCTACTACTACAAGTACACAAATTGCTTATGGGATTTTGTACTTAAAATCCTGTCTAGTCTTCCTGCCTGTTCTCTACTTGACATTACAATCTTATGTTTGTAATAAACTGGAAATGATTGTCTGAGTTTAGGAAGCAAGTTAATGCTCCGGATAAATGACAATCAACTTGTAGATTCTTAAAGAGCAAAGATCCTGCCATTGGGTAATAAAACAAAATGCCAGAAAAAAAAAATCCCAGCTTCCCGATAGTGATCACTTCTGCTCAACACAATTTGATAAAGTTGTTTTGTTTTGGGTTTTTTTGCTGCTGCTGTTGTTTTGGGTGGGGGGGATGAGGGACATCAATGAGTCTCCAAGTATTCTACAGATGCACAACTTTCTTGCAATATTAATTGAGAACATGGAGACACATCAAGGATTTATTTTAAACAATGACATTTAAGATTTTATCAAATCCAGAAACTCTAATAAGGCAAATTATTTGGTGTATTTATTTTATCTTCTCAAAAATCTGATAAAAGTACATGACTGCAGTACGATATCTTGATGAAGACAAAAATCAAGCTACTAAAGACTTCACTACTGCTAGAACAGAACAAAAATTATTCTGTTTCAAAAGAGAGTTCCATTTTCAAACTAGGCTGAACTTCATGAGACTAGCAGACTCACAAGACTGTATTATTTCACGTGTAAATTGTTTCTCAGGGACAGAACTTACAGGTAACATCATTAAAGGACTACCATGCTGATAGCATATTTACCAAGAGTAATAACATTGCTTCAGATTTCTAGCTAAATATTCCAAGGCAGTAATTTAATTTTATTCATGTACAACTGATGTCATGATAACAGCGTCATGACAAATCAAACTGTATCTATATTCCGTCTGGAGAGTACCTTACACTATAAGAATTTTTGTATGCCATATACTTCCATACTCTGGACAAATTAATTGTTCTTCTCAAAGAAGCGAGTTCACAACTCCTCCCAAGAAAACAGCAACCCCCCACAGATCCCTCTTGCTCCTATGATTTCCTCCCCTCCCCCCCCCCCCGCAAAGCTCCCCAATGCCCCAATCCCCTCCGCCGGGC